CCCCAAAACCCCAAAACCCCAAAACCCCAAAACCCCAAAACCCCAAAACCCCAAATTTTATTATTAGTGTTGAAGTAATAAATATTTATCTCTTCTTCTTTCCTTTCTTCTTCTTTCCTTTCTTTTTCTTGGCGAATGGGTTCTTAAGAAGCATGTCTTCCATCTTAGGATACTTTCTCTTGATATTAGTGTTATCCTCAGGGAACAGGATAGCCTTCTCAATTGTAGTCACAGGAATAGCACCTTTTTGTGAAGGCATGGAATTTAACTGAGTATTTAGAGCGCTTATTTCATTGATTTGTCTAGTTCTTTGCACACTATGATTACTCTGATATTTTTGAACGGAAATGTTTTTCTCATTTGGCATTTTACGCAGGGAAAGGATTCCAAATGAATCAGTATCCATTTCCTCCTGGTAAGATGTTCTATCAACCAAAGATTTAGGCCTTGTGTATAAAGATAAAGAGATGTGCCTATCCATCGAAGAATGAGTGTTAAAGATTGTATCGATGTTCTCAACATCAGTGATTTTATTAGCACCAATCAGCGCTCCCTTAAGATGTCTAAACTTTTGGATCCTGTTCAACTTTTGTAATGGATTCATCAAAGTGCCTGGTTTTATATCACTTGGATCTTCAGCTCCCTTCTTACTGGGAGACAGATTACCTTCAAACTCCTTCTTAGTCAGGAAGAAAGAATCATTACCTATTTTAGTGTTGGAATAATATGCGGAGTTCTCTTCTCCATTTTCAAGGTATGACAGATCATGTACCTGAGCTTTTGTATTGTTGGCAGAGTACATGTCATCATCTTCAGAAGAGTTTCCTTCACTGTCAGTTTCCAAGAACTTTTCTTGGTTTACAAACAGCGAGTTGCTGAGACTGTCCTTCTTTGCACCTCCGCTCTTCTTATAACTTCTGGAGTGATCATTGTATACAATATTTTGTCTGTCTGCAACCATTAGAGATCTTTCATGATGGAATGATTTATGGTTTCCCCACTTTCCGATACTCCTGTTGAGTTGGCCTTGAGACCTATTTAAAATTACCTTCTTTTCACGATGCTTCTTCCACATTTCTAGTCCTTGTGCTACTATCTCATTATTGGCCTTATATGGAGTGTCATAGTAATCCTGAGTAGGCGCCCTTTGTAGAGAAATAACCTTCTTTGAAAATCCTCCACTCTCAGAATCATCCCTTTTAAAAGTCACTGGGCTCGTACCTTTAGGAAGAGTTGTAGACCCAGACTTGTTAATAGGTGGGAGGTAGGTCTTATTTAACGGACTTTTCTCTATTTTTATCCGTTTTACAGGGCTATCGTCCTTCTCTATTTCTTCCCTTCTCTTCTTTAATGATTTCTGCCTCCTATATTCAACTGGGTCTGTGACAACCGGCTGATGGTCATGAGGAGGAATTGGCCTTTTCTTTAGTCTCTCGTCAATAGCTTGAAGTTTGCCTCTGTACCATTTGTTAACTTTCGCAAGGTAGTTTTTCTTGTGATGAGATTCTCCAATTTGGAGTATTTCCTCAAGCATTGACCTCAAAGAATTATGAACAGTCTTCTTAAGAGTCATATTCTCAAACTTGTCAGGTATATCATCAGCTGGGCCTCTAGGTATCTTTCAGAACTCCTTATACTCCTCGCATAGATCTTCATGCTTCTTTAGCTTATCATTAAGTTGCTTAAAGACTACATTCCCGCCAAGGATAGAGTCATTAAGAACTTGGGCTCCGAGGGAAAATCTTTTCTTAAGCAGCTCAATGTTGCTGCCTTCTTCCTTATTTAAAGTTAGCATCGGATGTATTCATGTTATTACCCCTAAATTCTGTATTAAAATTATCGTGATGTCCTTCATGGTGTTCTTGGCCAAGTCCCTCAATGAACAAGTCTATAGCAAGGTTAAGATAATCTTTGAAAAACCAACTTTAGAATGATGAAGAAGTCAGAAACCCCGCTTACCTTTGTTCTTGTTAGTACCCCTCATATTTAGGGAGAAAATGAAATAAAATTAAGAATTAACAATTTTAGAAGTGGATTTAGGGGTTTTGGGGTTTTGGGGTTTTGGGGTTTTGGGG